GAGTTCAAGCCCCACAACTACAAAAATTATTACATATCTACTAGATATTAGGCCCTGTATTGAAGTACTGGTTCTACAAGATAAAGACAAGTGCTCTAGAGCAAGGGGAAGAAGTAAAAGGATCCAGTGGACATTAGTGGACATCTCTAAGGCTCCAGGAAATATTCTATATCCACACTGAGCACATCCAAGACTAGGTGTGGTAGGAGGGGAGTTAGTTGCTTTGCTTTTTTTTTCTTTCAGATTTTACTTTCTGGTTTTACTGTTTGAGAATCTGGCTCTTTTAGTATTTATTAATTTTAATTTCCCTGTCTCCTGTTCCTGTTTCTATAGTGTTTGTCTATTCATCAAAAGAAAAACAATTGGGCATAGGATAGAGACAAGGAAAGCAACTTTCTACAGTTGGTGCTGCTTTGGTTCTCTGTATTTGCCATTGTAAATACCATTCAAATAATTTAACACAAAGCTAATAGTCTTGGAAGGTTAGGAGCCAAGAATCTGTGCTTGCTCATAAAGTGAGAATACAAACCTAGGAAGAAGTTAGGGGCAAAGTCCATTTATTGAAGCATCTCCCAACTTGATAGAACTCTTCCTGTTAAGCCAACTGATCAAGATTCTTTTTTTGGGGGGGGGTCTCTTCGTGGGGCCTGAACTCTGGGCCTGGGCGCTGTCCCTCGGCTCTTCAGCTCAAGGCTAGCGCTCTACCACTTGAGCTACAACGCCACTTCCGCTTTTTTCTTTTTGCTTATGTGGTGTTGAGGAATCGAACCCAGAGCCTCAGGCATGCAAGGTAAGCGCTCTACCACTGAGCCACCTTCCCAGCCCCTCAAGATTCTTCTTGTCTTTCAATGTCATCTCTCAAGGATCTTCTTCTCAAGACAATCTTGGGGAGGAGGTATACAAAATACATATCCTACAAGCGGCTAAAACAACTCCTTTGAGTTCACCATGAATATTTGTAGTATATTCCTAGAACCCCCTTGCTTAACTGTCACTATGCATTCTTACTGCTTCTAATAGACTGATCCCATGCCTGGTTAAGGTGGCAGGGATCTTTGTTTTGCTTTTTCGCTGCTCAGTGTTTTTGCCCTTTCCGGGACTTGCACTCGGGGTTTCGGGCTTACTTGGCTTGCATGTTCGCGCTGGCCCTCTATCACTTGAACTGTGCCTCAGACTCAGTTTGGAGATGGAGTCTGAGGGTATTTTTTTTTTTTTTTTTTTTTTTTGCCAAAGACTACACTGGTGGTTGAAAGTGTCAGCAATCTTTATCCTTTTATTGATGTGTAATCTGGCAGTTACCTGTTTGTTAGCTGTAGGCAGCTTCTACTGAACCCCAGGGGCAGCAAAGCAATTCCCAAAGCTCTTTTTAAGGACTGATCTTATTGTACGAGCCAACTTAAACCAGGGTTAGAGCTTCTCTTAACTGTTCTTTGTCACTATTACTTTGCAGAGTCAGGCCGGAACAGGAGGTCAGTGTACACAACCTAAGGGAAAATTACAACCAAGGTCAAGTTCTGTGAGAAGCCCACCTTGACCGCACCGCGCTAAAGTAACTTTGAGGGTGCATAGTTATGTAAATTTCTCACAACATAATTTGTCTCTGTAGTTGTTTTTCCTCTTTTAACTGTACTATAAAAGTGTCGGTCAGTAGGGTTTAAAATTAAGGTCTACCTGAAATATCTACTTTCCCTCCAGCTGATCATCTCCATCATCTCTATTTAAGACTTCTACTCCAAGTTCTAGAACTTGTAACCAACTGCCTACTAATATCTCCTCTCAGGTATCTAATAGGCTTCCAATTAAAATAGAACTCCTGGGCACTCACCCAGTTGCTCAAGTCAGAAGCCAAAAGTTATCATTAATGACTGTTTATTCTCTCTTTATCTGTACCAAGGTTTGGGCTCAGGGCCCTCAGTCACTTGGCTTTCTTGCTCAGAGCTGGTACTCTACCACTTGGTCATACCCCCAGTCCAGCATGTTGCTGGCTAATTGGAGACAGAAGTCTCAAAAATGTTTAGAAAAGTGGAGTGTATTTCATTTCCTTTTTATGTTGAAAAGAAATACAAAAAATGTTCACAAAAAGGGTGATTCTAATTTGATTACAAAATTATAAAATGTTTTGATCACTCCTGAGGTTAAACTTAGAATTCAAGTTCAGTGAACCACTGTTGGCTCATTTGTTAGAAAAATCAAGAAATGCAATATATTCAAGTGGTACTGAATAGCAACTGCTATGCAGGTGAATTCTTGTGAGTCAAGAGGCGTTCTGACATCCAACAGAGACATAACATTATTTTTTTTTACACCTAAGCAATGATATTTGGACCCTTCTTTTGCGCTGCACCACGTGCCCTGCAGAAAGTCATCCAATCTGTACAAACCAAAGGGAGCAATATGGAAAGGAACTTAGATGTGTTAAATATCTTTATAGTTTAAGTCTTTGCATAAGTTAGTCACAAAGGGTGAACTAGAAACTGGATTTTATGGCTCACACCTGTTGTCTTAGCTACAGGAGGCAGAAATAAGGATCACAATTCTAAGTCAGCCTGGGGAAAAATTAATTCATCTCAACCAATATAAAGGTAGGTATGGATGTTAATGACTATCATCCCTGTTGCCAAGATTGAAGTATAAGCCAGCCCAGGCATACATCAGGCAAAGACCCTATTTGAACAAAAACAACTTGCTTTTTACCTTGAAAGTCTGGACGTATAACTCAAGTAGTATAGCACTTGCCTAGCAAACAGGGGTCCAAGTTCAAACTCTTAACTGTCAAGAAGAAAAATCAGAAGCCATCCTGTCACTTCTTTGTTCAGAGTTAACTGATTTAACACTACATAATTCAGAACTTTACATTAAAAGATTTGTGAAAAGTTTCCAAATCATTTCAGCAACAAGGCATAATGCAATTGTAAAACAAATCCTTCTAATCTGTTTGGCTCTATTTTGGTTCTGATTTTGTCTATCAAATCAGCAAGCACAAAAGGTTCATAAGCTAAGTGAACATTCAATGACAGTCTGTTCTGGAGCACCAACTGCATATTTTTGCCTTGGATCTGTAATCATAGCCACAGATATCTCCAGATAATCTTCATTTTTCAGCTTAGCAATAATCTGGAACAGAACTTATCTTCATCTGACCTTAAACCTACTCATAAAGCCAGGAGATAAGAAAATGCTTACAACTGCTACTTAGGAATAATCTTTCTTTCCTTTCAATTATGTCTTAGAATATATCTAAGACTAAAAACTCTTAACGTGTAAAAAAAAAATTTCTCTGAGCTTCAGTATCTTAATTTAGTGCCCTAAAAATATTTTTTCTCTATCTCAATGGCAAAGATTTGAAATAAAAAGACTGGAATACATACATGTCTAAGTGTATTGCTTGAGGTTATATATACAATGTTTTAGGATTTTACAAACACTTCAGCCTTAATCAGGTCCCCAGGTCCTGTGCTCTGGTGCTTCTTGGATCCTCAGTGCTTCTTGGATCTTCAGGTCCGATGCTCAACCCCTGCTTCTGTAGGCCTGCTGCCACCGTGGTATGGAAAGCACTTGGAAAGCACAGACGGGACAAGATGCTCTGCCACTCCTTCTGATCCTAAGGAAATGTTCTCTTTCAACATGAAAAATCTGTACTAGACGGTCTTCACCCCTTTCAGCTTTAAAACATCTTTTTCTAAAATTGAACAAACTAATTTTAAAATACAATTCAGCTTTTTGCACTCTTATGAGTACATTATAACATCTTGGTGCATGCACATAATACTATGTTTAAAAATGCTCACCATTTAACCAATGATACAGCATACCATGCTACTAACACACACCTCTACCCTGAAGAGGTTGACGGGCATCAACCAAGAGCAGCCGTGGCAGAAACTGAGGTTGGGCAACAGGGCACTGAGGCATCATGCTTATCCGGTGAGGCTTTAGGCCAATGCAGCATGTGGTTAACCCCTGTTCTCCTCTTTATGTTTTGTTTTTTGTTTTAAATACATAGGCCAGTCTGGTCTCAAACCCATGATTCTTCTTGTTTCAGTCTCCAACTACAGGTATGTAATCCACTCAGCTTCCACAATGGCCTATTTTGTAATCTAAGAGGGAGTTATGACCTCAAATGGCTAAAAAAAAAAGATGTATAACAATAACAGGTACTAATAAATAAGCACAAGTATTACTCTGGGTGCTAAGAAGGTAATTCTGTACCAGAGCTAGACTGTGCTTTCAAGGAAAACTGCCCTGGAAACATGATAAAACCCACAATAAATAAGAATGATGAACATCCTCTGACTTTATGAAAAACAGCCAAGATATTCCTCCACCTGGGACAAATGGCTAATAAGTGTTAGAGTAGTTGGGGAACATTAAAAATCATAGGGTAATCTTAAAAATACCAAGAGTGAATGCTAACGTAAGATATCAGAATCATCTCTCCACAGGCATTTTCTATAACCATACCTACACATCAGCCAGGCTCAATTAGCAGCTTTTTAGGAGCCTGTCCTCCCTTCCCCATGGAATTGTTCCCTCCCATAGGACATGGTCTCTATATCCATGGGAAAGAAAGAGAAGAGAGAAGGAAGACAAAATACTACTTTTTATTTTCTCAGGCACACAGTGAGTTGGGATACCAATTACCAAGACATTTTACTGATACATGTTTAGAAATATTTATTATTTAATCTTCAGCCACTTTTGAAAACAGTTTTCAGCAATCACTGCAGTTCCGAAGTTATCAGGTTGTAATTTAGATGTGGAATGAGTTAAGCTTCTGCTCAATTCATGAGCTTAGTTGAACTCCTGAGTTATAAGCATCCTATGGAAGTGATCTATCTCCCCTTTCAAATGGCTTTCCAGACTACAGCAAAAATTAAATCCCTAATACAACAGAAATCAGCACTATCCAACCTAAAAGCAGGCAATGCTATAATGGGATCATCATTAACAAAATTCCACCACCAGGCCATTAACCAATGGCAGGACTGATGTTGCTGAGATACATAGAAAATTTTTTCTCTTAAATGTTGCTTTACTGTGAACAGCTTGAATTCACCTGATCACCTGAACCCACTGTCACACATCTACTGGCTTTCTCAATTATCCTAAAGACAACCACACAACACTGACAAATGTATGTCACAGCATCTTCTCTGGGAAAATCCAAGCCCACACTGTACATTAACACACAAAGCAATGCTGGTCATATATGTACCTCAATCGCTTAGTGGTGTGTCAGTATGGGCAAAGAAGATAACTAGTGAAATTGGTCAAGTAGAGGGGGCTGCTGTCTGTAATCATAGATACTCAAGAGGAGGCTGAGATCCAAAAGATAACAATTTTGAAGATAGCCAGGGCACAAGAGTCTGAGACTCAACAAAAAAAGGCTAGGTTGGGATGATAGAGTGACAGCCAAGTCTGAGGCTGTCTCACCCCTGGAACTACTGAACTCAATAGGCTCACGAAGAGAAACTATCTTATAGTTACATACTCAACCCTTAGGATAGGAAAGCCACATTAGACAGGACTGTAACAGGGTACATTGTGCACTGGGGAAAAGTATAGCTGGTTTTGAATAAATCCATTCACTTATGAATAGAATATAAAATTGAAATACATATCCTGATAGTTATTTGTAAAACAGAATACAGATTTCAATTTATTTTCTAAATTAGATGTTCAAATAAAAATGAACATAAAACCACATTAAATTTACTATATACACTTTCTTAAAAGAGATCCTACTTTTATGGAAGTTGATAACAAAATTTGGCAAAGAATAAACAAAAATATTAACAATAAACCAGAAAAAATATTTACTGGAAAGCCCAAAGAATTAAACATAGAATGTACTTTCTCTCATTAGATTTCAGACTCAAGAGACTGTATGTTTTTTCAGGTGAATTTAAAACAATTCAGCTTCATGATGTTCTTTTAAAATGGTTTGAAAAAACTTGTAAAGCCTCTCATTTCCGTAACTATTCATGGCTAAAGGCAATTCATAAATATATATGACTGGAGACAACATCCTGGCAACATGAAAGCACTCTGCAAACGTGCTGGGCTTCCCTAAGTTGAGGATGTGGGTTAAAGTTGGAGTGCAGGAGGTCTGGCAATGCTCTGTACAGAATACAGTAAGTACACCTAAACACCCAGAACCAAATCCAACAGCAGCTCACTAATGGACAGCTGTATACTACGAGGTTAGAAATGCAGAAGAAAAGGCAAAGTGCAGCTACAGACTAGACTCTTAAAAACAGTCAATTCATACCATTTTAAGAAAAAAAGGATGATTTTATTATATAAAATTATGATTGGCAGAATACAGAAAAATTATTTCTCTTTTACCTTTATGTATTTAGTACAAGTACCAAGCAAAGTGTAACATTTGGAAGAAAGCTTTACAAACTACCAAAAGGTATTCATTTGGTGAAGTTATTCAAGTCCCAAACACTATGAAAATAAATACACTTCAAAATATATGAAGTGTAAAATAGAGAGGAAAACAGTGACCTTAAATAACGGTTCCTTGAACAAAACCAAACACAAGAAAAATGTTGCTAAGTTACATGTAAAAGAATAAATCAGATGCATCATTTATTTTGTTAAATTGTAATCATTTAAAAAAAAAACTAGGTAGAAGCCATAAAAGAATATTCCACTACAACACAGAATTTTTCTTTAAAAGTGGAAGATTGTAGGTCTGTCATATACTCCATACCTAGGTACCCTGCCTAGTTACACTCAAGTGTGCTGCTGCTCACAGTTAAGAGAACTGATGGATTGTTCAGAAAAGGAAAACAATTTGTATAGGGAAAAAAATCTCCTTATTAAAAGGATCAAATTCATCTCTAGCATAAGACAAGAATAACCTGCTTCCAAGAATTCTTTTGTATTTTAGCAAATCAGGGTAAAGGTTTTACCCTAAGGAAAGGCAAATAAGAGGTCTCTGATAAGTTGGGATATTTATACCAAAAAAGAGATACCTAGCAGAAATTTTATACTAATATCTGTAATCAATTTGTAAAACATCTACTTATTAAATTCACAATTAAACTATTTTAAAAATCAGATTAATATGTTTCATACAAATCATATGCTATATTTTATCCTATAGTTCTAAGTGCAATTAATAAATACACTTTTATTCATGCTACAAAAGAAATAATTGAGACACTTAATTTCACATTTCAGAATTCCTGAGTCTTATCAGAGAAAAAACAAGTACCAAAAAACAAAACAAACTTATTTATAGTAGCGTAAATAATACACATCTGGGCATTAAGTTACTGTATTTTGTTTTAAAGCTGAAGACTATGGGGACAAATATGTAAGTACTTCAATGGAACTATAAACATGAGGTTAAAGCTTTTTTTTAAAAAAGGCGTTCTGATGAAACAAGGCCACCTGAGTGACAACTTCAATGATGGCAAGCCCACCATTTTAAAGGAATAATATCTTTATTTCAAAGCCTCATTATTAATATAAAAATGAAAAAGTTCATCTTAATAAAATGGTTTTTAGTAGGATTGCAATGGACAGCCCTTTGATGAGGGATCTGACAAAGAAGGTAAAGCGAATGTAATCAAATTTGAATGGGTGGGCATTCTCACTTTGAGCCACCACCCACTAAACAATTTCCCTTCTGCTTTGCATATTACACAGTGAAAATAAAAAGTATCTTAAGAGCACTTCAGTCCCACAATGTAGGATTTAAGCTTGTGTGAAAATGTGTAAATGGCCCTGCAATAATGTGATGCTTGCAGAAATACATTCAACTGAAAGTCAATATGTTTTCTAACAAGGGAAGAAAGGGAAGCAAAGTGGTCCCACTTAAATCAATAAAACAAACAGAAAACATCGTTTTTTCCCTTTGGGACAAGCTTCCTAACAAAGAACATCCAACAATAGTACACATTTAAAACTATAAGTAAGACAGACGCAGAAAACTATACATGGACTTTATAAATAAAACACTAAGCAGAAAAAATATTTGGGCTATTTCTCTGTTTGCAAGTCCCCACCAATTAAACAATTAAAAGACACTAAAGTGCAGACCTAGAGCCATTACAGGCATGATAAAGAAGTGCAGCCAAAATTGCATCTACAATTACATATCCAGAAAAGGATTTTTGCTTTAAAAAAATTGTGCAATTTAAAAACTAGTCAGTTTTGTTTGTGCCATAATACAAATCGAACTTGTCTCTGCCCACTAGAGAAGTGACTACTAAACTTTGGACAGTGCACTAGGCTCTTGACAATTACAAGTTTCATTAGAATCACACAATATTGATTCCACCTCCAGGAAATGTTAGGGTCCTCTTGCTGTAGAATGAAGAACCACTGGTATTTGGTTGACTGCCTTTAACTAGAGAAGTTTTCAGTTCCATTTCGCAAGCTACAATAGCGGCATTTAATTCCACTTGAGCTCGATGAACTACATAAAACATGAGGCCTATACTTATAATAATCTGTGAATAGAAATAAAATATTAGTCATCAAAATTATATATGGAAAAAGAAAAACAAATTTAATAAATTTCAGGCTTAGACAGGGTCATAAGATTTTCTATAATACTATTTTTTTTCTTTTTCTGTTCCTGGGGTACGAACTCTGGACCTGGTGTTGTCCCTGAGCTTCTTTTTGCTCAAGCGAACGCTCTGCCACTTGAGCCATAGTGCCAATTCCAGCTTTGTTGAGTAGATTACAGAAGATAAGAGTTTCAAGAGTTTCAAGGAGTTTCCTGTCTCGGGTGACTGCAAGCCTTCATTCTCGTATCTCAGCTTCCTGACTAGCTAGGATTACAGGCGTTAGCCATCAGCATCTGGCTCTGTAATTAATGTAGGCAAGGTTACATACTTTTAATTAATAAATCGATATCATTTTTTCTCTCCTTTGTTGCTTTTCCCAGGAGAATGCCAATATCTATGAGTAGCTATTATATAGTATCCTATAAATATTCAGTAACTATATTTCCCTTTGATACAAATAAATGATGTTTGATGAATACAAGTCTTTGTACTTAAAAATATACTCCAAGGAAAACAAAACCAACCTTTATTAGTATAAAGCATTATATATGCTAATATACTACTGTAGTATTACATATTTTTCTTCAATGATGAATGTCCACAGGTATTTCCTTGTGTGTGTGTGTGTGTGTGTGTGTGTGTGTGTGTGTGTGTGTGTGTGTGTGTGTGAAGTCTTTGTACTTAAAAACATCCTTCAAGGAAAACAAAAACCAACCTTTATTAGTATAAAGCATTATATATGCTAATGTACTACTGTAGTATTGTATATTTTTTTTTCAATGATAAATGTCCACATTTTCATGTGTGTGTGTGTGTGTGTGTGTGTGTGTGTGTGTGTTTGTGTCCTGGAGTTTGAACTCAGGGACTGTGGGCACTGTCTGAGTTTTCTGGCTCAAGGTTAGTGTTCTACCAACTGAACCACATATCTACTTCATATTTTTGTTGGTAACTGAAAAGTCACACAGACTTTTCGTGCCCAGGCTGGCATTTCTCAGATCTCAGCCTCCTTAGTAGCTGTGATTACAAGATACTGGCACTTAGTATTTCTAAACTCAGAGAAGGACAATTCATAAATGAACTGAGATAGACAAAATAAAAGCACTCAGCCAATACACTTCCACAGAAATTAAGAGCATGGAAGCTTCTGTAATAATGGAAAACAAAGGAAAACATGATGACAGCTTTTCTCAAAGGCATTCCAAAAGATACTAGGAAAAGTGTCAAACCAATGTTTAATAGAAGTCTACGTAATTTAAATATTACAGAGTTGGAGTTTTCTTTTAAAATTGTTTAGAAAGTGGAGAGAGGATAAAAGAGAGAAAGAGAAGAGGTGAATTTGATCAAACTACATTATATATGCACAGTGAAATCATTTTGTAACATTAACATGCTAGTTTAAAAAGAGAAAAAGGATAAAGGTGGAGTTTTAAACCTGGAATCCTGTAACTTTCTCTAATGTAAGTTCTCTCTCTCTCTCTCTCTCTCTCTCTCTCTCTCTCTCTATATATATATATATATATATATATATATATATATAAAACAAGATATACTTATTAAAAACCCTTAAAATCTGATACTTACCAGTAGATGGTAACAACATGCAAAGTGACTGAGACAGAGAATTGAGTGTGTGTGATGGAGATACTAAATTCTATTTAAGTCATGGTGTATTTGAGGTTTTTACTAGATATTCAGACAATGAACTTGTCTGATGCTATAGAGAGAAAACTGAGCTGAAGCTATGTGGGTAAAAGAATATGTAAATAAACACGTTAGTAGCTAGCTATCATAGTTATTAGATTTGCCTGGGAAAAAATGTTTTCAGCTTGATACTGCAAAGATTAAGGGAGAATATTCAGAAACATAGATTTAGGAGTGAACAAAAGAAGACAATCACTGGAGACAAGTGTGTGTGACAGGTGTGTGTGTAGGAGTTGTGGAGACAGCAGTACTAAAGAAACGAGAGGAAGAATGAAGGCATAGTCAACAGTCTTAAGTAGCTAAGACGTCAAGTGAGGTGACAACTGGCAAGTGTATCTGAGTTAAGTGAGTGACAATCAGAAAGAACAGTTGGCGGAAAGGACAGAAGGAGGAGGGCAGGACACCAAAAGGAAGTTTAGACTAGGTGAACGAATTTCTGAGGCATTCAGCAGGAAGAAATTCCTAAATTTACTTCCTCCTATGTAAACAGCAAAGTCTCAGCTATCCTAGATCCCTGAGCCTAAAAATTTAAATGGACTCTTCCCAACATGCTCTTGCTATCTCCGCCTCCCCTCCCCTCCTTCCTTAGTTTGGTAAGAATTTAGGTAGAGAAAAAAAAAATTGAGAAACAGAATTATAGACAATTGTTTTTAAAAGTTTTAAAAGATAGCATCCTTAGAAAAATACCTACAAGTCTTCCACTCCTCACTGAAAAGCAAAGTATGGGCAGAATCCCAAGGGCAGCTGATCACTCAGAAATGAGAGGGTTCCTATTTGAAATTCTTTAATCTCCTATGATAAGAAGAAAGGTAAGCCCGGCACTGGTGGCTCACGCCTGTAATCCTAGTTACTCAACAGGCTGAGATCTGAGGATCACAGTTCAAAGCCAGCCCGGGCAAGAAAGTCCGTGAGACTCTTATCTCCAATAAAAACCACTAGAAAACTGGAAGTGGCATTGTGACTCAAGCGGTAGAGCTGAGGGATAGCGCCCAAGCCTATGGTTCAAGCTCCACAACAGACAAAAAAAAAAAAAAAAAGAAAAAAAAAGAAGAAAGGTGATCTGGTGATAAAGAGTGGAATCTGACAAGAAATTATAATTGTGAGGAGAGTGATGATATAGCTTTAAGTCAACTATTTTAAGGAAATAACAGAAAGGTAAGAAGAAAACAGGAGGCAGTGGGGAAAAGGGCAGTACTGAAAACTAGTAGGTTTGCAACCATAACATAATTGTTACCCATTGGTCTGGTGACAGGTCTTTGCATCTAAAAGAACAGGTACAAAATAGATCAAAGTTGGACTCGAGGCAGGGTTGGAGTTTTGGTTAGTGGAGACAAAAAAGTACAGGACATGACACCAGTCACAAGTCACAGATGTGATTTAAGAGTCAGACATCAAATCTATGAATGTCAATAAAAGAGAAGTTGTGGCTTTCCCTGACATTTGTTGTGAATTGCTCCAATTTTCCTGATAATATACATTATCTTTAGGTTGGCAGCTACAAGCTCAGAGGCAAATTTGTGGCTCATTTATACCAAACAGAAGGAATCTGAAATTTTTTCCTCCATTACTTTTCCCATTCAAGATGAGTGAGACCAGAGGAGGCTAGTCTTAGGAGAGGATCACAAAGTCTAAACAGCTACATGCATATGATCTTATAAAAGGAGGTTTATCAAATGCCAAGAGGTTGTTATTTTGCGTTTTGTTTGGGTTTTGATTTTTTGTTTTTTTTTCTCCTGTGTTGCTGTTGTTTATTTCTGTACCTTTTGTCTTGTAAGTTTGCCTGTTTGGGCAAGGGTAAAGGGGAGCATAGAAATGGTGGGGACAAAGGGTGAACAAATGCAGCAGACAGCCCTCACTAGACACTATGTTGAAAATGAAATGCACAACTTGGGGAGAGGGTAGTCAGGAGGGAAAAACTGGGAGAAAATAAGAGAAGAGGCGACACTATTCAAAAGGAAATGTACAAGCTAGGAATGTGGCTTAGTGGTAGAGTGCTTGTCTAGCATGCATGAAGCTCTGGGTTTGATTCCTCCATACCACATAAACAGAAAAAGCCGGAAGTGTCTCTGTGGCTCAAGTGGTAGAGTACTAGCTTTAAGCACAGAGAGGCTCAGGCACAGTGCCCAGGCCCTGAGTTCAAACCCCAGGATTGAAAAAAAAAAAATGTGCTTATTACTTGACTTGTGTAACTGTAAACCCTCTGTATGTCAACTTTACAATAAAAATAACTAAATGAATAGATGACTTCTTCATCCTATTTTTATTCTTCAGTATATAATTGTAAGTTATATTAAATCCTTCTTAAAAGAAATTAGGCTATAACTAATACCAATAAATCAAACAAGAACAAAAATAATTTTTTCCCTAAATGCCTCTTCAGCCTAGACATGTTTATTTTTTCCCTTCCTGTCTTAAGTTTTAATTTGCCAGACCAAGGCAAGTAATAACAAATGAGGATAAAGGATGATCCCATACTTTAAGAAGCACCAAGCACTGCACTGATTACAGCTGAGTAACTAAGATGCATAGAATTAAGTCCTAATCCTCTACAATTACTAGTAATTTAGAATTAACTATTTCAATTTTTCTATCATAATGTCAAATGTTACTCTTTTTAGGAAACTAAAAGCACAAAATATGCTTAAATTTTTATTAAAAATAAGCTGAAAATGATGTCAAAAACAAATTATATATTACTATAAAACATAGGATGTTTAACATTTTGTCATTAACATGCTACATTAATATGAGTGATCCGTTTTAACAAAAACTTTAAATTGGAATCTGGTTATATAAAAAAATATAGGTCTGAGCTGGGCACCACTGCCCAGGTTATAGGTTCATGCCTATAATCCTAGCTACTCAGGAGGCTGAGATCTGAGGATTGCAATTTAAAGCCAGCTCCAGTAGAAAAGTCCATGAGACTCTGATCTCTAATAAACGACTTGGAAAAACCTGGAAGTGGCACTGTGGTAGAGTGCTAGCTTTGAATCAAAGAAGCTCTGGGAGAGCACCCAGGCCCTGAGTTTAAGCCCCAGGACTGGGTGGAGTGGGGGGAAGGAGGAGAGGGAGGGTGGAGGGAGGAGAGGGAGGGCGGAGGGAAGGGGGAGAGTATAGGTCTAAAAAAACTGGAAAAGGAAAATAAAAGTAAGCTCTCTGAATGTCCAAAATGATAATATTTCTTAAAGCAAACCCTTCAGGGTCAAAATACAGTCTGATTTGACTTTAAAAACAATGCTTACAGGCTGGGCATCAGAGGCTCACACCTGTAATCCTAGTTACTCAGGATGCCGAAATCTGAGGATCTCGGTTCAAAGCCAGCCAATGCAGGAAAGGCCATGAGACTCTTATCTCTAATAAACCACCAAAAACCTGGAAGTGGCACTGTGGCTCAAGTGGTAGAGTGCTTGCCTCGAGCTGAAGAGCTGAGGGATAGTGCCCAGGCCCAGAGTTCAAACCCCATAACCAAAAAAAGAAAAAACAATGCTTACAAAAAGAATCCTAGGGCTGGGAAGTTGGCTCAGTGGTAGAGCGCTTGCCTTGCATGCCTGAGGCCTGAGTTCGATTCCTCAGCACCACATAAGCAAAAATAAAAAAGCCGGAAGTGGCGCTGTGGCTCAAGTGGTAGAGCGCTAGCTTTGAGCTGAAGAGCTGAGGGACAGCCCCAGGCCCAGAGTTCAGGCCTCACGACCAGACCCCCCAAAAAAAAACAAAAAAGAATCGTATTTTTAGCAATCCTTCTTTTAAAGAAAATTCTATCAATTCAGTTCTACACACTTCCCTTCCATACACCCACACAATTAGAAAACATTGTCCAAATATGAAGTAGCATTGTTTCCTTGTTCTTTCAATACTTTAATTATGTTCAACAAAATCTATTTGGTTTAAATCAGCAAAAGAGAAAAGGAAGAAAAAAGACGATTTTTGGCTGTAAACTCACCTGTAAACAAAAAACAAAATATCCACTAACACTCTGTTCTGCAATGACATCTTCCATTGTCCGCAGGGTGGTACCCAAGTAAGAATTCAGAAGCTGAGTAGGAAGCAGTCCAACTGAAGATGCCATCAGATAGTTGGGTAATGAGAGATCAGTAATCTAGAAAGCAGATTAAAGGGAATGATTCATTACTAAGCAAAATAACACAAAAATGTCTATGTCTCAGTAGTGATTTCTCTAGGGAGAGAGCTGAAATACACAGCATTCAGACTTTAAAGGGAATGCATGCAAACTATACATTTAGAATCAAATAAAAGTTCAAAGAAATTTTTAAAATTCTATTCCTACAACTGCAAGAGAACATCCCCATACACAGACAAGTTATCATGTCACTAACTAGTCATAAGCATTCTTAAATGGCAGTGGAGTTGCTGTGCTCTAAAGCCAGATTAACACTGAGAATTCAAGTCATTTCTTGGTGTCAATGCAATTGTTTCCTTTTTAAAAAAAAAAACCCTCTTGTACATTCACCTGTGTGGAAAAGTGCATCTAAAATACTCCCAATGACCCAATTTACTGGCATTGAGGCCCAGGAATGTGAGCTAGACCTCCTGCTTCCTTTTTAACAAACAGATTCCAGCAGGAAATCTTCCCCAAGTAGGTTAGCTGACAGGCTCATCGGAGAAGTCCATGTGAAAAAGTCAGCAACAAGCAAGCACTTGAGGCTTGCCAACAGCTACATGAGCAGGCCTAGCGGCAAACTCTGACAATCAAGCCTTGACTGCAGCCTAAGCCAACACCTTTACTGCAGAATTGTGAGGGGATCTGAACTACAAACTAGAAGTGAAGTATACAGGTATTCCTGACTCACAACTGTGAGATAATGTTTGCTGTTTTAAGCTACAAAATTTTGAAGTGATGTTACACAGCAATAAATAATATAAATCTCAGTTATCTTAGGATAGACCACTAAGAATGAAAATATTGACTCAAACAGTAAACACTGCATATTATGTTCTAAAATGTTCACACTAGTTTGTGTGTGGGTGTGTGCTGGTTCCCGGGTTTGAACTCAGGGCCTGGGCCCTGTTTCTGAGCTTTTTTGCTCAAGGTTAGCACTCTACCACAGAGCGACTGCTCCACTGCTAGCCTTACCAGGGCTTAATTGGAAATAAATGTCTCATGGACTTTCCTGCCCAAGCTGGCTTCAAACAACAATCCTCAGATCTTAGCCTCCTGAGTAGCATGTTCACACTAATTTAAATATCTGTTAGCAATATCAGTGTTCATTATACTCTCACAACTTTAAGAAGCATATGTCAATCTTGTGTACTTTGATAGGGTAAAAATGTTATATCATTATTTAATCTGCATTATTCTCATATAGTGACACTAGTTTTGTATTTTCATATCTATAGATTTTTTGGTTAATGTCTGCCTTTTCTCAAAGTGTTCAATGTTTGCATTTACTCTTAAGAGGCATTTATATAGGAAGGATGATTATATGCAGGTCTATTATATGCAACATATCTTCTCCACTAAATTGTCTTCCCCTTTTTTTCATTTTATTTTCAGTCATACTATGCTGTCCATGATAAGATGCAACTCCTGGGTTCAAGTGATCCATCCATGCTTTAGTTGAGACTACAAGCCTAGCTTATCTTTTAACTTTGTTTTAAAATGACTTCTATATGTATTTATAATTCAACATTACTAATATTTCCCCCTAGATTTTCCTAGTTTTTACCTATTTTTTTCTGATTGTTTTCCCTCTTAATATTTACCATTTATATACTTTGGAATTCAGATTAAAAGTGAGGTTATTGCTTCTTCTTTATCTATTCTTTAACCAATTTTCTGGACATTGTATGTAAGGTAAGCAATAGCTTCTCTATTGAACTGTAATATTACAAATGGTGTTATTGCACATAAGAGCCTATATGGACTCTTACTACAGAATATCTATTTCAAACTGCATTAAAAGCAAACGAATACATTTTATATTAAAATTAAGCCAAGTTTTCAAATTTAATTAGAGTAAATATGTACAATAATCAATATTCTTATCCAGAAAAGTTTATGCAATTACCCAAAGCTTGTTATCCTCCTTATTAAACTTTGGTTGTTTTATTCACGTATGCAATGCGTTTCATAATGTGTAAAGATTTTATGTTATTGTTGATATGACTGCTACGAATTTTAAGAATAACTTCTCCATAGCCCCATTTGGTACTATTGTATGGAAGAAAGATATTAAATACTTTATTGAAACCTCATTCCTCATTGTACATCACCTTTACAATAAAATTTAAATAAAAAAAATACTTTATTCAGGGTTGGGAAGTTGGCTCAGTGGTAGAGTGCTAGCCTCTCATGGCCTTGGGTTCGATTCCTCAGCACCACATAAGCAGAAAAAAGCTGGAAGTGGTGCTGTGCCTCAAGTGGCAAGGCACTAGCCTTGAGCTAAAGAGCTGAGGGATAGCACCCAGCCCGAGTTCACCCCCCCATGACTGAGCAAAAAAAAAAAAAAATTTATTCAACATTTTTAAAACTAATTTTAAGATCTGATCATTTAATCAGCTCTGAATAGTTACTTTATAACTACAAACTACTCTAGTAACTATGCAAATGACAACAAAATTATTATTAAAGTTATATTTGGGCTGGGAAGGTGGCTCGGTGGTAGAGTGCCTGCCTTGCAAGCATGAGGGCTGGGTTCGATTCCTCAGCACCACATAAGCAGAAAAAAAAAATGCCAGCAGTGGCACTGTGGCTCAAGTGGTAGGGTGCTAGCCTTGAGCTAAAGAGCTGAGGGCCAGCAACCTGGCCCAGAGTTCAGCCCCCATGACCAACAAAAAAATGCACAAAACAATAAAGTTTATATTCATTAAAATCACATTCATCTCCTATTCATAGAGATGGTTTGAAAAGAACATTACAGCACTAAGCTATTGACATTGCACTTCATCAATCACTGATTCAGTACTAACTCTATGAAAGATGGAAAAAGGAATATAGAATGGACACTGAACTAAGCCTGGGGTTGGCAGGCAAAGATAGATTGGATTTAAGAAGGCAGAAGTTTTCTAGGAAGAGACTGTATATGGCGCATGCAAGGCATTACTGCAAAGGAAGACAGGGTAAGTACAGGGAGTGAATACCTATTAGGGGCCTTGGCTAATGAGGCAAAATACTAGGAAATCCACTCACATGAACCAAGGACTTTTTTAAGAACAAATGTCAAATATATGAGAATATATATGAGAACATATGACAAAATAAGTCACTAAAATTCTTTGTTGCAAATAACAAAATTCCATATTATGGAAGTAATCTTTAAAACAAACATTTGTTTTATTCCAAAATACAAGGATGGAAAGATTTAGTCCATAACCTTTAAACTTAAGGAAGTTCCTCTAAACAAAACACATAATTGACATTCATGACATCAGTGATATCCGCATGGGAATAGTAAGAAAGATTTTATAATTCTAAACTCAACTCTTTATGTGATTTTTGTCCAATGCGTAAGTCAAAGTTCATCCAAATTTTTCAAGACTAAGATTCATTCTAGGAAAAATGTTATTATTTTTACATGTTTCTTTCCATAAGCTGATACTGTGGCAAAACAGAGTAACATACACAATTTTAAATTAGTAGTAATAATTTTATTAAAGATAAACAAATCCCATAGTATCTTAATATAGCATTTCTTGTAAGTCAAAATTTTACTCCAACTAACCACAAGAACCTCCAGCTAGCATTAGTCTTTGACAAAGATTTCAGAATTTTTGTTCTCACAGAATTACCCTAAAGGAAGCCTTACCAGTCACTGAATTTTAATTCTCTATCTTCTACCTCTACTTTCTCATAAAAATATAAATGTCAGGCCAAGGTAATCCCATTGCAATGCCTGACTTAGAGTACCCTGGGATATTGGCAAGGCGCGGTCTTCTTCCATCATAAACAGAGTATCGCCCTCATCATCTATCTAAACTAAATCCTGCAGAAATCTTCTTAAAATGAAAATCTAATCCTGACTAGTGCTTCACAGTCTGCTCTGACCATCTCATGCTGCATATCACACTGTTCCTGTCTCCCAGAGTCTGGAACACTCTTTACTTTTCTCTTTCTAGGTCTCTGTACCCTGTTCTTTCTAGCAAGGATACTGGTGTGCTTTCCTCTACTCCCTTTACTAAGGGCAACTGTCTTTCACTGCTCAGTCATTTGCCTAGTCAGCCTAATGGGTCTCAAGAGCTTGAGTGGAACACTGTTATCTCCCTGCTCCATCGAACTGGACAGCAACTGAAGGTCTCACCACATTTACCCCTAGCCTAGACTACAAGTTCTGGCAGGGACTGACGTGTCTTGTTCTTTCTTATGTTTTTTGTCTTAATGTAAGGTTTACTAAACATTAAATACAAAATTAATGTTTTGGTAATAAATATGAGGACTAAAGACAGTTGCTGGTTTATGAACAGGATGAGATGACAAGTCCATATGCAACAAGCGTTTCAGAAATTGAACACACACCTGCTCTAACACACAGAAAAAAATGTTATACGTGAAAATGAACTCCATCTCAGCAAATGTTACACTGTAATACAGAGTACTAGATGCTTTCTCTCCACTGGACTGACAGCACCGTGAGGAACCCTTTGCTCTATTCACTACTGTGAAAGCCTGTGAGCACATTTCAGGGGATACCCGCCTTGCCTCCTTTTATTTGCTGAATGAAAAGTAGTGTATCTAGTAACTTCAGTGAACCTAAAGTCACAGCTAAGATGCTTAGGGAAAATTGTACTCTAAGAAAAATGCAGGACTCTTTAAGATCCCACTCTAAAAGCCAGAGAGAGAGTCTTAGGGTAAAGGGCTTCTAAGGACAGAAATCAATTAGTCAAATGTCTATAACATAAAAACCACCTTTGTATATACAAACCTCTTCATCAGTACAATGTTCCCAAATAATTTTGAACACTTTGAAAATCTGGGTTATATAGACAATTGGATCTTCTTCCCAAAAAATAAAATGCAAATAACCACCAGAACGTAGTTGTAAAGTGCTTCACAAAACATGATAAAATATACGTTTATTATTTTCACTCACTGAACCAAAATTTGTCAAATACAGTCTACATAAAACCTGTCTCTAAGCAGGG